GGCATCCGTGGTTCGGAACCGGGACATGCACTGGGCTACAGTCTGACTCCCCTGTCGGAGCTGAAGGAGTTGGGCCTCCGTCGATATCTCGCCGCTACAGGAAACAAAAGCCCTCCTCAGTTCGGCCACAAAAACATCATAGTCATTGCAGGCCTCCAATTTCGTGTTATACAGGGCTGCGGCCCACTCCTGAGCTCGGCTGGTGAGGAGGGAGGTGAGCAGCGCCACACGGGAGCGGGCTATGGCATAGCGGTGGGGCTGATACTCAAAGGTCATGGCGAGTGTGGCTAACATTCCCTCAGGGGAGCCGTGCGTGCCGTCCTACTTCTCCGGGAGGCTGAGGATCGGTAACTCCCATTCTCTGGACGTCTGCTGCTGCTGCTGCTGCGCAGCGGAAAGCTGGAGAGCTACTGTGGCTATGGACTCCACCTTGTCAGCTAGGCGTCCCACAGTAGCTCCCATCTGGATCACCTGCGATCACAGGGACTCAAAGTCCGCTGGGTCAATATTTGACTCAGTCATCCTGTAAGGCCTGACTCGAGCTGAGCTGAACTGGAGCGAGAGTTCGGGATGTAGCGTGTTTGTAAACCCAAGCGCGGAGTGACTGACGCCGGGCAGGTTGACACGCGGTTTGTTCTAGGAGTCAAACCGTATAATGACTGGAGAGCACGGCGGCTCCAAAAGTTAACAAGCTGACTTACTTTGAGTCGGCAGGGTGAGTAGCACGGGCTGATCTGGTCAGAACGGGCTGAGTGATCGGGTTGGATCTGGTCGGAACTCGGAGCACAGTTCGGTTAGAACGATGACTGAGTGGTTTGGCATTGAGCTGTACTTCCTTATGTAGATGTGGCGGGTGATGTGGGAAGACTGGCACTGGGAATGCTGGGTAGTGGAGTTCGGTTGGCCTGAGTGAGTGTGTGGTCCTCCCCCGGAGGATGTTGAGGGTTGTGAAGGAGGCAGCGTGACACCAAACAGTCATAAAAATGAAACATTGGGTAAGTCATATTTTGACATTGCGAGTGAGAGGATAAGTAGCTGAATAGTTTAATGTATGCATGATATGTAAAAGTTGTCATTAAAAGTGTCAAAACCGATGCATCATTTCAGAGATTACATTACAATGGTAGGCCGATACAGTCAAGCGTCCCTTTTAAATGTGCTTTGCTAATAAATTATTGGTGTGATATTTGCAGAGCCCAAACTCCTCCAGGTAAAGCTGAACGGCGGCCCCACCTGCATGCAGGTTGCTGTTTAAACATCCAGACATTTATTGAAACAAGAACAGATGCATGCAGAGATATTTTTGCAGGACCACATTTCAACATGTCTGTGTTTGTGTTTCTGCAGTGGCTCTCATGCAGCATTTCTCTACTTGTCACGCTGTTAGTAGGGGGGAGGTTAGGACCCAAGATGCAGAACCAGGGAGACACGAGGCAGTAGTTGAAATAAACGTAAAAATCCTTTATCAGGAGTGATTGTCCAAAAGTAAATCCAATGGGGCAGGAAGACAAAACCAAAAATCCCCAAATCCTAGCATGAAAACCAAGAGACCTAGAGATAAAGTGCTCTCTTAAAGCGCAGACCTGGAGATATAAAAAAATCCTAGAGACCAAGAGAGGTGGGGTGGGCGAGACAACGCTGACAAACAATGGACCGACAACACATTGAGACGCAGACAGGGTTTTATACACAAAGGGAAACAATCAGGGAGACGGGTGACGGGTGTGTGGGGAGTAATCAGAAGGGATCAGGTGAGACCAATTAACTGAGTGGGGAAAACTGACTAGGTAAAATAAATCTACTGATGAGTGAACTCCTAGAACCTGAAAACAAGACACCAGAAGAAAAACACCAACAGGGATGGGATTACTGCATGAGAAAACACTACGGGGGAACCTGGGGGAAACCTGGAGGGAGCTGGCGACCTAAAGGCGCACATAAACCAAAGAAGAACACATAAGAGGAAAACCTGGAGTGGGCTGGGGAACACACGGAGACACATAAGGGGAACCTAGGAGACATATGAGGGGGACGCAGGACGCAGACCATGACAATACTCATTTTTAGCTGGAAACTCACCACCCCACCAGTTATTTGTGATGCCAGCACAGTGGGCATTATGTTAGCATTGTAATCCTTTAATATGACTCAAATTCATGGATGTAAAACCTGATGTTTTTATGACTTACATGGTCATTTTGAACATTAACCCAGACTTCCATAATTCACCATTTATCTCTTATTATTTCTAACTAGAATCTTTTAACCAGTCCTGGTTATGAGTTAACACTGCTGCCTGCTGTTCCACTAATCCTACGGTTTTTTGAATGGTACTGTTTAACCCCACCAGTTCTCACACTGGTAGCTACTGACATCTAGTGGTATGGATAATTTGGTTCAATGCAATTTTACATTGTGTGCTTCCTCTACAGTTGTCAGCCAGTAAACCTAGGCAGCTGTAAGACTCAGGAAGATTTAAATGAACCAATAACAAATGTGACAGTCAAAATAAGAAACAACTAAACATATTCTTTATGACAAATCCTCTGATGTTACTGGATTAAACCCTTATTGTGAAAGTGTTATACAACACTGAACTCCTGAGACCCAAATCTGCATTTGCTGTGATTAAAAAAATAAAAAAAGGTTTAGCCCTAGCCATTACAGATTAGTCAGCTCTCAGAAATATGAAATAAGAGAAAAAGAAAAAGATAAATAATTAAACTTAAATTCAAAATCAAGTGTCTCTGAATAATAAAATCAAGGTCTAATTTGAAGAGAATGAGTGATTAGAGTGCAAGCCGATGTCCACATATGTGGACCTAGGATCTCAGGAGGTTAGTTAAGATTATTATGAAATTTAATATTTTATATTTTCCTGTTTAAAGTTTGTAAATAACATTAATAAAGCTCTCGAGTCCAGAAGAAATAATGAAACACACCTTGAATGCCAAAACAAAGATTCACAAAACTCAGAGCTGCTCATGTCCTCTGAATGGATGAAATTATGATATACTTGTATAGAATTACGCTTTTGATATTAATGCTACTTTTTGGTGCTGATCAGTGACATCACTCACTGCCAAAGCAGTAGTGACACGCTGACGTCTGTGCAAAGTTCTGAAAGGGCTGAATTTGAATGGAGACACAACAGCAGAGAGGACCTGGTCATCGTATCTCCTGGTCAAGTCCCCGATCCCAGGAACTACCCTGGAGGTCGGGTGATGGAAACATGCCCATTATTGAACCGATTCACCTGACCTAGGAATGTCCTCACCTTGCGTTAATCATAGCTACTTCCAGTTGATGGTGGCTTTCATGCTAACTAATCATTTAGTTTAAAATTGACACATTTAATTAAGTTTTAAAATTCAGATGTGATATTATATACCGGTATTTAAATCTAAACTATCAGTTTTGGGTGTTCAACATTAACCACAGATCGAAACACAAACGCTCTACTTTAACCATTGTGCACAACTGCTGTCTTGTCTAAACAAGAATGACGTGAGCTTTTATCTTCAGTTGGATTTCATGTTATTAAAAACACAGACATGATTCAAACCCTCAGTGTCTTCACGTTTCTCCAAATAAGCCCTAATTTCAGACAGGATGCATTTAATCAGCATTACAGAAGATGATCTTTTATACGAGATATTATGGTCTAAATGGAATTAAACGATTGAAACGAAGTTTGTGATTTTATAAATTCATAAAACTTGTAAATAACAGACGTCACTGCTCGTTCGGGACACGGACAACACGTAAGAGAATGAAAACAATGGTTGTGTCATATTAAAATAATATGTGGAACGGCTAATTATTAAGAGAGACACATCACCAACCCCAACCTAATGAACACAAAACAGACTCAACAACACCAACATTTTCTCGTGAGTAGAATCATAATGCAATATGAAGTGTATAAGTTAAATTATTTATGAAGTAAACTTGCAAGTAACAAAATAGTTTACCCTCACAGTACACGGTAGTAGATATCATGATAATACTACAGACACATTTCAGTTCTAGTCCACAAATCATGAGTGCAGTTATGTTCTATAGTGGACCCTCCACCTTTTTTAAGAGCAGAAAGATTGATAAAAAATATCATTGTTTAATTTCTTTTGTGCATTGCATGAAAAAAAAAACAATTGGATCACAGTTATGCTTTCACAGCCTTTGAGCCTTCTTCTTATTAGCAAGGAAAGAGTTCCAGCTGAACCAGTTTGGCTTCTCGTTACTGGAGCATTGTCCAGCATCGCAGGTATACCCGGCAGGACAGCAGTGTTGCTTGTCTGCACAGCACACGGCCTGCAGGGAGGACACAAGGGTCTTCGGTTAAAGTTGTGTATCATTCTTTGGAGTAGAAATACATAAATGCATCTGCTGCAAAGAGAAAAGAAGGAAAAATCCAAATTGTGCTGCTTAGATGCTTCAGTTACTGACCCTGAGCTGAGAAACGTTAAAAAGGAAAAAGAAAACTTCAGTTGTTTATTTTTTGAGTGTAGACTTTAGATGATTAAGAAAGAAACACTTTCATGGATTTGACCAGCAGCTTCACGTGCACTTTGATAGAGCTAGTGACAAGCTACTCCAAAACAGGAAGTGGTTATTTTTAATGAAACAATCCATCTTCTTAAGATTCAGAGTAATGTGTGCACACACTCCCTCTCAATGCCTGCTTTCTAATAACCGGCTATAACATACTCAACGTGTTTATTTTTAGTTATTTTCCTTGACATTGTTTCTTATTGCTTCTGACTCTCATAATAAATGGTTGTAGCCATTAATGGCTTTTATTTGTGCTTTTACACAAACCATCGTGCAGTATTCTCTATGGGATTACATAACAATCATTTGGAAATCATTTTTACTACGTTAATTGATTCCTGGAGGTTATGTCAAGACTGGAACTTGAGACTTTTGTGATCCATTGTCATGATCTAAGGTAATGATTTAACCCAAGACATGCAGAATCAACACACTGGAGCAGGATGTGAAAAAATAAAGATTTATTTGGTAACTAGAACTTAGGGTGCACTGGAAATCCAGTGAATGGGTAAACGGGAGCAGCGTCTGAGGGAAGGGAAACAGAGGTGAGTCCTTGATTGATACTGTAGTGTGGTAGAGGATGAGTTTGGTAGGAGGACTTACAGATGTAGCGTGGTGGAGGACCTCCAGGGAGGGGTGAGCTGGGAGAGTGAATGAGTATTCCGGGGTGATGAAGATCGGCGAGGTTTTACTACCGGAGGGGGAGGAGAGAGAGCTTGTAGTGCTGGGAGCAGTTAGTGCCGTGAGGAGGACGGGAACCGGGAGTGAAGTCCAGACGTAGTATGGTCGAGAAGTAAATCCAAAAAGGTCACAGCGAGGAGGTGGTGTATGGAAAGATGACTGAGTCTGAGATAAAACGAGAACAAAAAATCTGAGCAAAGATCGCTAGCAAAAAAAAAAAACCACGTTACTAAAGTAGTGATGGGACGAACGACACTGGCGCGTCAGCACAGTGTCGACTGCACAAGAGTGAAACCCCGTATCGGTGCGTGTATCGCTTTAAGAAAATATCACGTGACCGACACAGGATTGTGTGTCGTTTGGATGCGCCGCGCCAAATTGTGTTTATAAGGAAGCAAACTGTATCGACATGTTGCGGATTTGTTGGTTAGAGTTTTGCTGTTTGCTGTTTGATTTTGGATTTTTCCTTACCTCACGCTCACTTCTCCGCTGACTTCATGGATCGTTCCAAGAAGTTTTCCCCAGTCTGGAATAATTTTGATCTTTTGACGCCAAAAAAGGTAAATTGTTTTCTCCATTTGGCAACGTTTACTGTTATTTCTGTATTGTAAATGTGTTTGTAGTCTTTCTCTGGTAAGAGGCTTAAATTGTTTTCAGATAAATTAACTATTTATTTTATTGTAGGTGAAGTGTCGGCTCTGCTCCACAGAGCTGTCTTACACAAATAAGAGCACTTCATCAATGCTGAGGCATTATAGAGCTCGGCATGGCAACGATGAATTGGTAGATACCCCAGGTATGTTGAAATTATCACCAAAAAATCTGAATTGTCAAAATTAGTCTATTACACACAAAAGGCTTTGTGTGACTCTGTAGTATTGCTTGTAAAATCCTTTTCATAAGCTTTTTAAAGCTTTTAAAAAAGTATTTCCTTTTGGCTTGCAGTTCCTAACAAGCAAGCAGTGGATGATGCTGTGGTTAACATGATCATCAAAGACTGCCAGCCACTCACCATTGTTGAAAATGAGGGATTCAGGGAGCTCCTGAAGCTTATTGCACCCTCATATGTTCTACCAAGCAGGAAGGTATGTTTAAGAAATGTTTGCTTTAATTAATCAACTACTTTCATGGTGTGTGTGTGTGTGTGTGTGTGTGTGTGTGTGTGTGTGTGTGTGTGTGTGTGTGTGTGTGTGTGTTTATGTAACATTGGTATTACAGTATTGGTATGTTTACTTGTAGGTCATCAAGGACTTGGTGAGCCAGAAATATGAAGAGGAAAAGGAGAAAACAAAAAAGGACCTCCAGAGCGTCATTGCTGTTAGTTTAACAGCTGATATGTGGACATCCATTAATATGGAGGCATATCTTGCCGTTACTTGCCACTATGTGGACAAAGAAAGCCATGAACTCTGTTCATCAGTCTTGGGAGTGCAGCATTTCCCTCAGAAACACACTGCAGAAAACATGGCCACAGTTAAAAGGAGCCTCATGGAGGAGTGGGGCATAGCAGGCAAAGTCAGGTGTCTTGTCACTGATGCAGCAGCAAACATGATTGCATGTGCTCGAATGCTGCAAGTACGGCAAACCATTTGCATTGCCCATTCCATAAATTTAATTGTAAGAAAATCATGTGATCAAATCTCAACACTAACAGAACTACGCAACAAAGCACGGCAAATTGTGACATACTTTCGATCAAGCACCATGGCCAAGGAAAAGCTCACTCAAATGCAGCAACAGCTGGGAACACCATTGCATAAATTAATAAATGAGGTGCCGACACAATGGAACAGCACCTACCACATGCTGGAGAGACTGACTGAGCAGAAGGAGGCAGTCTGGGTGTCACTGGCCTCATTAAAAACTGATCTCACTCCACTGACTCCAGAAGAATTTGAAATCATTGAAGAGATGCTCAGGGTGCTTGCTCCTTTTTACCAAGCCACAAGAGAACTCTCTGAGGAAAAAAGAGTCTCGGGGTCAAAGGTTATTCCATTGATGAGAATGATCCACATTGAGCTTCAACATCAATCTTCAACGGTGACAAAACCCACTGCTAAACAACTGGCTGAAAATCTGTCAAAGCGGCTAACCGAGTCCATCTGCAACATGGAATCGCTCAGTGTGATGTCACTGGCAACATTGTTGGACCCCAGGTTTAAAACTGCTGGCTTTTTTAGTCCACTGAAAGCAACTGAAGCTGTCAAGAGACTGAAGTCAGAGTGTGCTGCTGAAATGAGGAGCCATGAGCCTGACCCAGCAGTAGAGGAGCCTAGCACTTCACGTGGATCAGAACACAGTTCAGGTATGAAAACACATTTCTTTGTGAATATTTGTTTATTTCTGCGGAAGTTTGTCATGTGATAGTAAACCAATGATTAACAGACTTATTTCCAATTTATTTGTTAGGACACAATCTCTGGAGGCACCTTGATATGGAGGTTGAGGAGAGCAGGATGACCTCTAATACTACAGCCAATTCCATAATTGAAGTCCAACGCTACCTGGCTGAAAGAAATGCACCGAGAACACAAGACCCATTACAATATTGGAAAAATAACCAGAATTTATATCCACACCTTTATCAACTCGCACTTCAATTCTTATGCACACCATCTTCATCTGTACCCTGTGAAAGAGTGTTTTCTAAGGCAGGGGAACTGGTGTCTAAGAGGAGAAATCGCCTTGGAGCAAACACACTGCACAAACTTTTGTTCCTCAATAAAAATGCATAAATGAATCCATATTTAGTCTTTTATTTTGTATGATCTAACACAGAGGTTAACACATTTACATAAGTTAAAACTTTTACTTCTGATTTTTATTAGACACATTCAGATTTAACATGCCAACTCATTGTAACATTTACACAAAGGTTATAAGCAAATGTTAAACTCCTTTCATAAACAACTTAACTTAAATTGAGTAAATTAAATTACATAATGATATATTTTGATTACAGGAAATTAAATTTTGCACACCTGGTGTGGGTTTGCAGCATGTAAGCTTTTCCATCTTATTTACCTGCAATGATTTTAGAAATACTGCAGGTGTCGCTATTGAGTGACCAACACAGTGTCAGTACAGTGCCGACACAGTTTGTCTAGTGTGTCAATACACTCCTTGAGGTATCATCATTCCATCACTATACTAAAGTTCAAGGCTAAGGTTTCAAAGTTCAAAGTCAAGGTTTCAAAATCGAGTTAACACTGTGGCTGGGACTCTACCAGTAAGGCGAAATCATCCGGCGGCTTAGCAGTGTCCTCCGTCCTCCTTATGAAGGCCACCCACTGATCAGCTGATTGATTGCAGCTGCTGCTCTCTCTCCTGGAAACAGAGAACTCACAAGCCAGGTGATGTCATGGTGTGTGTGGGTGTGTGTGGAGTGCTCACCTCAAAGCTCACAACATCCATAGTGGGTCCTGACCCCATATAAAAGGCTCTGAGAGAAGAATTCACATGCCGAGGCACTTCTTTGTACTTGCTTTTAATCCCAGTTGTTCCTGAAACAATTTGAATTAAATAGTTTACTTTTTCAAAATGTTTTATTTTTTTGGGTTATTTTCTAACTACCGTAAATCCTCTAATACAGGCCCAGGCCTGTATTTGACTCAAGCTCATCAAGCTCCAGGCCTTTATTGGAAGGAGGACCAGAATTAGAGGCAGGCCTCAATTTCTGTTTGAGCAAAATGAACTAATGGTTCGCTGGAGTTTTTGACAATTAAAATTGCGCCCACATTTTCAAAGTTAAACACATTTCTTTTAACAACGGTAGTTTCTGCTTCAGCCCTCTCCCCCCTCCCCCTGCGCAGCGGCCGCAAACTCACTGATGCGCCTGCAGCCTCTCGGAGTTCCTGCTGCTCTAGACATTAAAATAATTATTTCATTTTCTGTTCCTCACTTCTGATTACCTTCAATGGTGTCTGTTTGTTGCAACCAGCAGGTACAAAAACTAACTTGTTTTTATTTGACTATTTTTCTGTCCTGCCTGTTTATTATCTTCCTGCATCTCCTCTCAATCCTAAAGAAAAACTGCTACCTGGGTTCATATATATTCACCTCATGAGTTACCTTTGAACTGCAGTTCTAAAAGATCTACCGACCGCAAAAACAGCGGAGTGCGAGCTGCTCGCCGGCCGTATCAGTGGTGCTTCACCAAGGACAAAACAGGTGATGCGCCCCGATCCACAGCAGCGAAAAGCATCCGGCACAAATAAAAGACAGAAAACATAAAAGGAAATGAGCCGACATGAACGATCGCGTGTTAAATTAGTTTTTGAGGTGGCGACACCTGATTTGATAATGTTACTGTGGCCGTGCTCAGGACGCAGATGTCTGGAGCGCGTCAACAATCAGAGCTTTGCATGCGCAAGCTGGTTAAGGTTAGGATGGGGTGAGGGGAAGGTTAAATTGCAAGAGGGTAAACGTCACAATTTGGTTAAATGTCCGTTTTACGGCGGGTGTCGGTACCGATGCTCTGGCACAGCGCGTTGCCTCCAGACACGCAGGAACCTGTCACCTGCTAACAGCAGGCTGCTGTCTTTTCCGTGGACTGCATCTTGCCGGTCATTATCATGTGACAGCGACTAGTCGATGACAGGCATAACAAGTCACTATAGAGCGGTGAAGTCGACTAGTGACTAGTTCATACAACCCCTACTACTGCTCCCCAGAGTGTTCTGCAGCATAATCAGCACGTTCTCTTTGAACTTGATATCAAATTTTTGCCTCCTCTTCGTCTCCGCACGGTTAAAGTTACCCTCGCGGTCTATCACTGGCAAATCAAAAGTGAGACGGATGACACAACCACCCCCCGTACTTGCTTGTTACCACATTCCACCCGGCCACAATAAAAAACGGCCATTATTCACCTCCGCCGACTCCGACACCGGCCAAAATATGATACCCGGCAGGTAATTAAATACAGGCTAGTATTAGAGGATTTACGGCATTTGTACTCATTTTCTGTACTTTATGCTTGGTATTTAGAACAGTGACTTACTTTTATTCTTTAATGGTGTTTTGTTGCACTGTTTGTATCACTTTAGGACTGCAAGAAGCTGTTTGTAAATGTGCTACACAACTAAATTTGACCTTTTTCTATTGAAACCAGTGGTCTTACTGGTAAAACCCAGCAGGTTAGCAGAAAGTAGACTTATCACGTTAGAGAGACTTACATTAGGGTAGATGCAACAGCCCCAGTTGCCCGAAAGCAGTTCGCAGCATGTGGTTCCATCAGGACAGGCTACTTTTTCATCACAAGGGATTTTGCTATCTGGAAAAGGGAAAAGAACGGTTTGTGGGTCTACAGTTTTGTCGTTTTACTGCTAAATCAAGTCTCAGATGAAACTGGCCATAATTTGATCCATGTTGACAGTGCCATTGTGTTGTGCAGTTCACCTGTTGGCTGACCCTTTTTATCTAAACAGAGGACATTCATACCTTCACAGAGTTACATGATTTACATTATGTTTTCGTAAAAACAAAACTGTAAATGTTCCAAAAAGTGTTGTTGATTTTACGATTAAACCAAACAGACTACTTTAGACAGTGATGTCATTTAACCGCATTTCCAGCTTCTTCCTGCAACAATTTCTCAAAGTACAAAAAAATGCTGCTTCATATGCCAAGAAGTGATTAGTCAGTAATGATAATAAGTCATTTTACATTTAGCCCTGACAAACCAGATCAGCAGCCAGGGGTGGCGTTAGGCCCGGCTACTTGGGCTGAAGCCCCGGATGTTTTATGAAAAGCCCCGGATCTAAATCGCGGAAGTAACATGCAGTACCAAAGTCCATCAGAGAGGGAGCAGCTGGCAGTAGTTTGTATACAGCCTGCCTGAGCCTCCACCACTGAAGAAGAAGCCCTTCAGCAGCCGGCTTCTTCTACACTCTCTGCCTGAAACACATGAGTGAAGATGGACTTAAAGACGTTTTTTAGACAAAAAGTTCAACGACAGAACCCCAGCTTTGATGAGACTGGTGTTGACTCAGGTTTGTGAGTCTTATTTGAAAATATTTGTTGTGCTGCTGGTTTGCCTAAAGTTAGCTTATCAGGTAAAGTTGATGGAGAAAGAACGCGGGAATATTTACTATCATCTCACACTAAACACTAACAGGAACAATACTCTGCCCTGAAAATGCTTAATATGTAGCTTCAGATTAAAAATTATGTCGTACAAGACATATAATGCCTTTAAAACCAAACTGAAAGCTTCAGAGACTGCATTAGTAACTTGTAACTGCTTTTAATGATTGAGTGTTTTTTCATTGTCATTACGTTGTAACTGTTTGTATTTTTTGCTGCCTCTTGGCCAGGACACCCTTGTAAAAGAGGTTCTTAACCTCATTGGGTCTCTATCCTGGTTAAATAAGGGTTAAATAAAAAATAAAAAAAATAAAATATGATGTTGTTGACTAGTGCGTGTCACGTTTGTGTGCGCGCACGCGTGAGTGTGTGTGTGTGTGCGTTAGGGGTAGTACGAAATAGTCGACTAGTCGACTAGTTGACTTCACGGCTCTGTAGTGACTTTTTATGCCTGTCATCAACTAGTCGCTGTCACGTGATAATGACTGACAAGATGCAGTCCTCGGAAAAGACAGCAGGTGATGAGCCCCTGCGCGTCTGGATCGAGGCGGAGGCGACGCGCTGTGCGGTACTGACACCGGCGGTAAAACGGACATTTAACCAAACTGTGACCTTTTCCCTCTTGCAATTTAACCTTCCCCTCACCCCCATCCTAATCTTAACCAGTTTGCGCATGCAAAGCTCTGATCACTGACGTGCGCTCCAGACATTGCGTCTTGAGCACCTCCAAATCAGGTGTCACCACCTCAAAAACAAATTAAACATGCGATCGTTCAAGTCGGCTCATTTCCTTTCATGTTTTCTGTCTGTTATTTGTGCCTGATGCGTTTTGCTGCTGCGGAGCGAGGCGCATCACCTGTTGTCCTCCGGTGACGCGCCCCCAAGATTCCACTATCTCCACTCCATTGGCGGTTCTAGGGGCGGGGCCACAGGGGCACTGGCCCCTGCTGAAATATGATTGGCCCCTGTAGTGCCCCTGTCCTGTCACTCATCTGTCCTTTGTGCGGTGATGAGATTATAGGTGGATGCAATTCCGAGTCCAAACACTAGTGGCCGTGTGGCGCTAAGGAGCAAAATAGTGTGTGAAATCCAACAGAAGAAGATTTGAAAGATTCCAAGAAGGGAGAACTTTTCAACCGACATCGGATCTGATGAGAGTCCACGTTAGGCCGGGGACACACTGGCCGCGGAAGCGCCGCGAAGCGCCGCGAAAATGGGACCGCCTTCATTCGGCGCCCTTGTTAAGCTATTCTATAGACTACATGGGCCGCCGAAGCGCCGCGAATCGCCTCGCGCCGGCGCGCGCCGGCGCTCCAGCCCGCGCCGTGCAGCGATCATTTCGGCGTTGGCTCTATTTTTTTCGCGAGCCGCGGGTGAATCGCGTCAATTCTGGCAGGAAGTCAAACGTAGACATAAGAGGCAGGCCGGTAAAGTTAACAAAATAAAGCATTTCAAAATAAAATTCCGCAATAGTCAAATGTGTTCGTAAACAGACACTGCAGAAAAACCACACGAACACGCACACACATACACACACATCGAACTTGTGTGCGTGTGTGACCACGTGAAGGGGGGTGTGGTTTTGGGTGTCTTTTCCCCGGAGCAAACAGGACAGAGAGGCAGAAAGTCTGAGGCAAGCAGTTAGGATGGATGACTTTAAATTAATTATGGAAGTTGAGAAACACAAGGAGCTGTACGACCCCCGAAAAACATGATTGTTTACGTACCCATGTCGGAAGAAACTGCTAGGATACAGCTGCAGAATTGGAGCGGGTTCCAAGAGATTCAACTGGCAGAAACAACTCATACCATAGGTTCACACACACGCGCGCGCGCGCACGCGCACAAACTCAAACGTAGGAAAAGAGCTGAGAAAAGGCAGAGAGGAAATGGAGGACACCAAGTGTTTAAAAGAAAAACTACAGCTGAGCCGAGGCGCGCCTCGACTGGGGCGCGTCTGATCTGAACTGAGGAGCGGCGAGCAGCGGCCGAATTTCGTGAGCGATTCGCTTCTCGGCGCTTCGCGGCGCTTCCGCGGCCGGTGTGTCCCCGGCGTTATGAGGAGTTTGTTGGTAAGTCACGAATCACTGTTTACTCACAGTTGCCATGTAAGTCAAGTCTGACAATAAGTCCAATGGAAAGCAATGCCGACATTAGTTAAAGGTAATGTTAAAAAGGGCTTGTGAAAAAACGTTAGCCCTTGCTAATCCATGTACTTCTTTTGTAATCTGCATTTCGTGTGTTAATAGTTGGCACTGTCTGATAGAGAACATGAAAAGAAAGGGTCAGATACAGGCGGGAATTCTGCAGTTTTTTCCCAAGAGAGTGAGTGTGTCAGCTGGTGAGAACGAGCATGGAGAAATCAGAGAGAGAGCAGCAGGAGGCAGTAGACCAGAGGCTGGAACAGGGCAAGGGACCTCCATTCCCCCTTTATCAGGTCAGAAAGAATATAATCTTTATTGTGCAACAGTCATGTCAGATAAACACGAGAGACAGCCTCTTGTAGGACATACCATGCTGGGAAATCAGCGTACGTGTAATATAAACGCGCCGTGGCGGCATGGTGTTGCGGGAATTTTGTGGCATTCGTGCTGCCACGGTTGATACTAATATCACCGCAACGCCGGACTTGTGAATGCATATTACAACTTGGCGCAACAGAAGGGGGTATCATGATCACGTGGGCAGTTACTGCCGAGCTCCGGCCGGCAACTATATTGAAAATGAAAGTAAACATGGGCCGTAAGTTTGGCTTTTCTAAACAGAATCAGCTGAGATGATGGCCGGGGAGCCTCTCCGTAAGAGTTGAAGCTCAGATCACCAGAGACTGCACGGGGACAGACACCTTCTGGAGCGGCTTGTTAAAAAAGCTTAATGAGTGTGGCTTTGATCGCAATAAAAAGCAAGTTATGTCCAAGATAAACTGAAGTCCGTGGCAACGCAGAGACCGCCCCCAAGCTCCCTTTTCACAGCCATCGCATAATCTTTTGTAAAAAGATCATGATTGCACCACATTATCCAGCAGGACGGACTGACCACTTATAAACGACCTAATGCTGCCCAGTGTGTTCTGCTTATAATTGAGGATAACCTTTTCCCATTTTATCTTGGAGCTGATCCAGTTAATGTGGAGTCATTTTCTTGCACAGAAAATTTGCATTGAGCTTTTTATATTTATCAGTAATAATTGGGTCAGTTATTCCAAGCACCAAAAATAAAGGATTATTGTTTAAATTGATAGAAGTTGTTAATCGTGACAAATCATTAGTGGCAAAGTTGCTTCCCTTTAGTAAATGATTTTACGTTTCTCAAAGCATCTTTCCATTCATCATCAGTAATGTTGCAGTTAAGTTTCCTTTCCCACAATTCCTTCAAGGTTTCCCTAAATTGTGACATTTTGATGTATTGTAAAATGTGTGGGAAAAGTCCTTGTTTGAAACACTGAATTTTCTAATTGGTTGATTAAGTAAGGTCAAGGTTAAGTTTTCCAAAGAGATTTTGTGTTTTGGATATTCCTTTGTTAGTCCAACTTTTCCTGCCATTATTCTAGGTAAAAATAAAAAAAAATCACCATTATCTCAAATTTGTTAAATGATGTTATCTTGTACTAATGGCACATATGTTTACTGAATTCTTCCGCTTCATGGTGATGTGATTTACTATAACATTAACATAATGGATTTAAATTGTATTGGTTTCTTTGTCTACATCTACCACATCTCATCTTTATAGTCCAATCTTTGAAGTCTTCAATTTCAAATAAATAAAAATGTGGTCTCATAGAAAACAAAGTTTTGGCTGGATTTAGCTGGAGTTTGACATATATTTGTATTTTAGCTGCAAACTGGGACAAGACTCTCTCCAATTCAGACAACCAGAGTGAAGTTAATGACTCAACCTTCCATCCTGCTGGGCCACCAGAGTCACCAATCAATACTAATCCTGCAGGATCAAATGGTAAACATTGATCTTTGAAAGTAATAAATGCTTGTGTATGTATTTGGCTTATGTTAGATAATTTCTCATTTGCTGTTTTCAGACATCTTCCAGTGTGATGCACAGAATCCTGCGCAGACATCAGAACGGTGTTCTGTTCCAGTAGGACCTGGTGGTGTGCTTCTCATTTTGTAAAGGCTCTTTAAATTTAATTGAATTTTGCAGTCAGTCACTTGCAGATTCTGAATGCCATGAATGCTAAAGGTTGAGAGATATAAGCAACTGACTCAGACTTATTTAATTGACTTCCCACCAGACATTTCCCAGTCAAGAGCAGAGGGTCCTGTGATATTCTTCTGGTGTTTTTTCCACACACAAACATATTTTAACCTGATATTTGTGGCTTTGCAAAATAAATTGAATGCTAAAATTTCTCAAATGCTGTGTGTGGTTGTATTTTGTCAATGTACAGTAAAAATTGATGTACAATTGCATTGATGTTTTTCAACATGGTGTTGGGGTAAACTGTATCTACCATACAAAACTGGGAATAGTATGCAGGTATGTTGGACTGTTCGTGGCCCCTCTATAAATATTGTGGCCCCTTGATGGCCCCACCCTCAGAAAAATCCTAGATCCGCCACTGCTCCACTCCGCTCCGCTCCGGCACGAACTCCGCAGCAAAAACGGTCCCGTTGTAGTCGGCCGGCGAGCAGCGGCACTCCGCTGTTTTAGCGGTCGGTAGATCTTTTAGAACTGCAGTTCAAAGGTAACTCATAAGGTGAATATATATGAACCCAGGTAGCAGTTTCTCTTTAGGATTGAGAGGAGATGCAGGAAGATAATAAGCAGGACAGAAAAATAGTCAAATAAAAACAAGTTAGTTTTTGTACCTGCTGGTTGCAACAAACAGACACCATTGAAGGTAATCAGAAGTGAGGAACAGAAAATGAAATAATTATTTTAATGTTTAGAGCAGCAGGAACTCCGAGAGGCTGCAGGCGCATCAGTGAGTTTGCGGCTGCTGCGCAGGGGGAGGGGGGGAGAGGACTGAAGTAGGATGCAGAAACTACCGTTGTTAAAAGAGATGTGTTTAACTTAGAAAATGTGGGCGCAATTTTAATTGTCAAAAAATTCCAGCGAACCTACCGACCGACCCCCCCGCCGCTTCCGGCGTATGACGTCATCAACGACTAGTCGAAGTCGACTCGACTTTCATTACTTGACTGTTGACTTTAAAAAAAATAAAGTCGTGCAGGCTCTAGTGTGCGTTAAGTCCCGGATCTTCTTCAGTCCTAAATCCGCCCCTGTCAGCAGCATCACTTTTGTTTTTTCATGCTGGGAAAAAGTAACCTCACACCACCAAGAAATACAGTAACTTTCATCAAAAGAAAAAGGAAATATGTATCCACTTTTTCACTGGATCACATGTATTCTTCTTGTGTTAGATGCTATCATGCATTTGAAGATGATTTGTACAAATCCAGAAACAGCTAAAACAGCATCGATTGCTGGATTTATGCAAAAATGGTTGCTCTCTTGATCAGCGCTGTATTTATGCCAGTTTGCTTACTTTAGCTACTGGGCAGCAGCCAAACTTAGTCAAAGACTTCTGGCAGGAATACTCAGCAGGACATCATGACTCATCGGAGCAGACAGTTTCATAGTCGTTGTCCGTGGAGCTCCTGATCATCCTGAAAGACTGCACAAAGAAAAAGAAGGACATCTCTCAGAATATTCCAAACATTTTCATGAACGCTAAAAGATTGTACTCATACTCTGGAGATTTGGGTGTGGTCTGCAGATGTTCTTTCCTTCCATGGAATGGACATGGTTTTATTCACACAGCTGGATGTTTCTTTGTCACAGACCGTGTCTGCTGGGCAGCAGTGGACATGATCCTCACAGCATTCAGCCTGCAGAGACAGGAGCAGCAGGAGCGTCCGGCATGTTCTCACTATCCAGAATCCTCTTGTGTCTCATGTAAGTGTGTGTCTAAGTTTAGTGTCTTCAGCTGCTTCTAACATGTTTCAGCCAGGTTTGTCTCAGCTGACTCTTTTCCCAACAGTGTCAGAATAGTATGTTGCTTTTAGCAAACTCCTCCAAATCTACTTTTTATTTTTATTTTTCTCTCTGATTTACTGTTTTCAAAATAGCATGACTCCATTTATTCATGTATATAAACTAGTGAGAGAAACTTTAGGAAACTTGTGTTTGGAGTGCAGCCGCACCTGATCAAATGGGCAGCACTTGTAGTCATTAGTGGGGCTGTTGCAACAGGTTTGACCCTCTTTGCACCTTCCTCCATCTGGACATTCATGAGCACCAACCAGGACCAGGAGAGTCCAACAAATCACAACCCAGCTGTGCATCTGCAGGGGCAGCAGAACCATGCACACCACGGGTGGTAAAAGGAAAGTGAAACTGTGCCAGAGCAGAGCTAAAACAACACCGTTCTCCTCTAATCAGAATTAAAAAGTTGTCTTTTACACATATTATAGCAGCTTTTATTGACTGAGTAGGTTTTTACGAAGTTACATAATCACTCATAATCAAACAACTTTATTTCCTGGTGCTAGTTTTGAGCTGTTTCTGTGTGGGGTTTATCCTGCAATCAAGCATAAACCTAATACACAAATGCAATCAATGATCACAGATCACAAAAATAACAAGTTTCGCTCAATAATAATATTAATAGTAATAGTAATAATAATAATAATAATAATAATAATAATAATAATAATAATAATAACAATAATGGGAAAATACCTGCAAGACAAACAATTTAAACCACAAAGTCTCTGCAAATAAGTGATCAGCCTGCACGTTTCTGTAAGTGGGAGTTGTTCTTACCTTTGGTGGAGACAGGAGCGCTGCTGTGAGTCAACAGAAGCTTCTCTGCTCTGACACACCACAAACAGCCTAACTGCCGCAGACCTGTGCACGCCCCCAGACAACCAAACCTGAATATCTCATTTGCATAAAGAGACTTCCTGATTTCTGTATCAGACTTCCTTATTTTTGCATACAGCTGTTTTAGTTTCATGCATTTGCTGTTTTGCCACACCAGTAATTTTATCACTGTTAAGAACATTTTGGTGTCAAATTGTTTCAACCCACCCTTTCATTTGAACAAGTCATACGTAAAATCTAATGAATATAAAAATGTGTTTTTAAAACATGAAAAGAGCGATTCAAAATAAGGGGGGTAAAAAAAGATTGGAAAGTTTTAAAAACATGGGTAAAAACACTTCCAATAAAGATTATTCAACTTGTAAAAAGCAATTGTGTACAAAAATAATAATGTGAACTAATACTGTTTAACTTTTGATTCAAACAGTTCACCTTCTTTTTAATTTTGTAGCCTTTTCAGTTAAGTTCAGTGCACGTAGAGCCTAAAATGTGCTCTTCCAGAGAATTCATAAAAAGATGGAAAGAGTACTTGAATAGCTGATGAATGAGGAAAATGAGATACACTGTAGAGTAGAAGATGTTGCTGTTGCTGGCTCAGTAAGAAGCTGAGATTAAAAAGGTAATGCTTCCTTTTACAGTCCCCTAATAACTAAGTACTTACATGGTAATTACATAGTAAGATAAAGTGTTTTATTTGTGTAATTAAAGTGTATAATAGTAAAAAAGTGTAAATATGTGTAAAGCAGTATTTACTGGGAATGATTATTCATTCATTCCGGAACTGCGCTGCTCTGGGTGGCTGCATGTTGGAGTAGCTCTGCTGACTATATCTAAGTTTTGCCTTTTTTGGACATTTTTTCTTCTAGTTTCTCAAGAAAAACTATTTTTTTGACATTTTACTTTTCTGTTTCTGGTGCTGTGAAGCTTAAGAGGATTTTTACTGCAATTTTTTTACTTTTTTCACTCTTTGAGCATTTGTTATGATGCGTAACCATGGTAACAAGCTGGTTTACAATCAGGAGCAGCTGATTAACATTGGAAAGGTTGAAGTAATACCTCAACTGAAGCCACAAATCCCAAATGAGCTAAAACACAAGAAGCGTGGGTGCAGAGCGGGAGCAAAACGGAGACTGAAAAAGCAGAAATTCAAACCATCTCTTCCATCGATCATAATGGGCAATAATAAATCAGGTGCTGGTCCGCTAATATGCTAAAGTCCGATCTTTTCTCAGGATCTAACCAAACTGAAGCAAACAGTGTAAAATCCTAGTATGTGGTAACCACGCTACACTTACTATGTAATCACCATGTACTGTAAGTACATGGTAATTAGGGGACTGTAAAAGGAAGTGTTACCATTAAAAAGAAAGGTGGTGGCAGTATAGGTTTGGACCAGCTTGTTAAACAATATGTTAGAGGGTGAGAGGAGAGGCCTGAAGAATGGAAGAAAGTGTTCTGGTCTAGGTGCAGATTTTTAAAAACAAGAAAAACATACAGATTTGTGACAACTACAGAGAAACTAAGCTAATGAGTCATATAATGAAGCTTTGGGTGGAAGTGGTGGAAGCTAGGCTAAGGTCAGAAGTGAGCATTGGTGTGCAGCAGTACAGTTTCATGCCATGAAAATGTTCTACAGATGTGATTTTTGCTCTAAAGACACTGATGCATAAATACAGAGAAGGACAGAAGAAGCTGCATGATGTCTTGATATCTTTGTAGATTTACAAAAAGTCTATGAAAGGACACCAGGAGAGGAGCTGTGGTATTGCATGAGGAGGTCTGGAGTTTAAACACACACACACACACACACACACACTCACGTTCCCTACACAGTGTGAGACAATACGTCAGCCAACACGCTGTCCTCACCTTTCTTATGTACCAAGTATGTGTCGATGTCTTAAGCTGTAACCAAGGAGACCAACACATCAGCACTTAAACCCGATCCTGCCACAGGGAGCAACACCAGATCTCTGTCACTCGGACGAAAGTATCGAACCAGTGCCCACTTAGCATAACGGGCTTTCATTGGTTATTGAGCCTGGACTAAGTTTTCTTGAGCCAATCGACAGGCATAAAACAAACATTTCCCAAACCTACTTACATAATTCATTTTCAGAAGGAAAGGGTTCTGACAACCATCTTTCCTTGAGCAGTCAAAGCAGTCCCTGGACAGTGTGTTCCAAAACCAGGGCTGCAGGACAAAATCCTGAGGATTTCTGTGTTGTTGCTCGCATGGCAAACAAGAAAGGTAGTCCCTCATCCCACCCTCTTCCATACTCCAGACTCCGAGCTTCTGTCTCCTTTAAGTACAGCTCTTTGTTTAGCTGACATGCTATTCTAAAATCGTGCTTTATGAAGACAATTGTATGGTAAGCAGTGATACTTCTTAACAAGAGAGCTTCCCTGATGATCTCTACCAACTCAAGGCAGGGAAACCAGTTCACCAAAGCAGTCGTGCTCTAACCTGGTCTCCAGAACTAGATGAAAGTGGGGGGTTGATTTGCATTGATGGGCATCTGTGGAGATCTGAGGATTTAACTTGCCAAAATGTGCATCCAGTTACCCTTCACAACCGGTGTCGTAGTTGCTCATCCAGGACTGTGACAGTCGCCTGCAACACCCTGGCTCTGAAATAAGATGCAAATACTGGCTAATTACAAGGCTAAGAGGCAGTGCACTATTTTCAATGGACCTGTGTGGATTACCGCCATTTGAGGGCTAAGCTGGTCATTCTGAGAATGGCTGATCATCCAGTGGTGTGCCTCAAATAATTCAAGCGGCTTTTTTACTCCACTGCAATGAACTGTTTTGGACCCTTTCACGTGAAGTTGGGCCACCACTCAGAGAGGAAGCTGGGGAATCGTTTTCAAGGGACTGACAGTCAGAGCCGTGCATCTGGACGACCTGACCCTAACTGACACAAACTCATTTCTGATGACTCTTTGTTGATATATTGCTAGGAGATGCACATCACCTGAACTCTATTCAGACCAAGGGACCAAAGAGGAGGTGAAAGAGAGCTAAAGGAGCATTGTTTGCCATGTCGTTAGACCTGCAGCGACAAGACTGAGTTCCATTTCAACCCTCCTCCTGCTTCTCATTTTGGAGGTTCCTGGCAATGAGAGATTTGTTTGGTGGAGACGAATCTGTACACCGTTGTTGGGGCACAGCTCATTCCTGAAGACGTCCTCTGCACAGTGTTGGTTGATTTGGAGGGCATTCTTAATTCCAAGCCCCTTGATTACTTTCCATTCGATGCCAATGATGTGGATCCTGTGACTCTAAACTGCCTACTCATAGGGCAGCCCGATGGGTCACTACTGCAGGGGGTTTATCCCATAGATGAGCTTCTGAGTTGATGAAGGTGGAAGTGTAATATTTTGTAAGTGGTTACTTTTAATAAATTGTCAACAGAATAAAAAGATATTCAATAAAATGTAACATTTCATAAAAATATGGATTATCATTCTTATTGAACCTTTCATATTTGATTGATGATGAAACTAGGCAATTTGGGTAATGCCAGGGAAACAATACTTTATAATAATTTGACAAAGAAGCAACAATATAGTTTAAAAATTCTATTTATGTTTGTATTATCAATGATAATGTTAAGTGCAACGGAATGAAATGACTGTTTCCCCTCTCCTCTGCACAGGACTAGTCTGCATGAGACATGGTCTCAAGGTCTCATGCATTTGCTTCTAACCTGCTTCTTTTCATCTTAGGTGTGTTCTTGCTGTGTCGTATCTCTAATTCCATGCTGTAGTTCTTTTTTAAAACACAGAGCAGTTTTGTTTACCTGTTTTCCCGCTACGTTTCGTTTGCGGCTGCAAACTTCCTCAGGCTGACGGAGAAGGAAGTGGCGCCACCATTAGCACAAGATCATGAAGATGAAGCTGGAGAATTTACTGAAGGAGAAGTTGGTACTCAGCAAGCTGCAGGAAGGCAGACTGTCCGCAGGGGTGAAAGAGTAAGAACACTCACTGAAAAGGGTAAAGAGCTTCAAGAGGAGAAGCTTAAAGGTCTCAAACACAAATACTGTACGCAGTTGTTTTTGAAAAGTGGAGATATGAAGCGAGATTGAGCAAAGTGTTATTAAGGAAAGAAGCGCCAGAGAGTGAATTACACGAGCTCATTAACAACATAAGTGCTACCTGCAAAGATGTTCAAACCATTTACGAACAAATAAGGCACATAACAACTCCAGATGCAGATGTACGACGCAAAGTAGATGCATGCACATCACTTTCTGGATTCATTTTGGAAAGAGCTGAAAAGCTGCTACGGGAGGAATTCACAGAAGGTGATGAAGAGCCATGGCCAGACTTTGGGTCATGCTTAGGATCTGAAAGGACTAAATCAGGGTCAAAATCACATCGGTCTAAAAGTGGTTCAGGTCACTCAGGCTCACAACCTATCAAAAGAATGGAAGCTGAAGCAGAGGCAGCTGCATCTCAGGAGATATTAGCAGTGATGGAAGAACAGGAGAGGGAAGCAGCCAAGCTACAGAAATTGGAATGTGAGCACTTTGAAAGGCTGCAAGAAACAGAAGAGCAGCGTAGAAAGATTAAACGCTTGGATGAAGTTAAAAGGTTAAATGCTGCAAAGGCTCGAGTAAAGGTTTATGATGAAGCTGAGAGTGTTTCTGGAAGTCAGAGCTAATCACAGAGCATGAAAGCAGAGAGTGTAACCGAAGCTATACGCATCCCATTAAACGTTCCCTCTCAAGTTCAAACTGCAGCTCATCTCCAAGATGCTACAAGCCCTGCTTTTGTTCCAAACGTTCCTACAGTCATAAACCAATCTCAACGAAATCCTGGTGTACCACCTCAGGTGACCATTAGCCAACCACTCAAAGCATCAAGTCCACCATTTATCCCTCAAGCCATACAAGTTCCTGCTGCTGCAAATCAGCCACAGTCGAATCTGGATCTAGTTGGCGTTCTAGCTGAAGCAATAAGCGCTAACCGTCTGCCAACTCCAGAACCTACACTGTTTACTGGTGATCCTCTAAAATTCAAAG